TACCTTAACTAATAATAATAAAAATTTAAAAAAAATTAAAAAAATAAAAGTATAAAAATTGTAAAGGTTGCAACCCAGGGAAGTTTAAAACAAAGGCCAGCTGATTTCAAGCCTAACAGACCATTATCTTCACCTAAGGCAACGCGTGAGAAGAAAAGAAAAAGAAGAAGCTGGAGGTTTCCAAGTGGCAGAATGGGTGGGAAGTAGGTGGGTCCTCCCAGCGTTTTCTTTACAATTCAAAGTATACTGTGGAATTATTAAAATATAACAATTTATTAGACAGATTAAAAAAGATTAATTCTGTGGTCAAGACCAAATCTTTAATGTTACAACTGGTTTAACTTTTAATAATCTTTAAATTGGGTATATTTGACAGCTTTTCCAAATGTAATATTTCAAGAATTTAACTGAGAAGACAGCTTTGTGACATCTCAAGGACCCTGAGATCTACTCTCTCTCTAAAAAGAAATATTTTTGAACTAAATTAGACCTGTACAATAGACTTGAAATTACATAAGGAAGTACTAGTAAGCTATGCAGGCTGAGCTGGGTAACAAGATTAATGCTTCCATGATAATGGGCAGTTCTTGCTTGGTGAAATATGACTGCCAGCTAGATTAGCATGTCCTTTCTTTTAACAGAAAGGGCAATCATAATTAACAGCATAATTAAAATAAAATGGTACTTTCACATTTAGTTATTCCTGTTACAAAATTAGTCAATAAAATGCTTTAGGTAATAATTGGCTTTTAGTCTCAAAGTTGTTAAGATATAATAAATGATGTAACTAAAATGAAGATTTGGATAAAGCATCTTAGTAATAATTATAAATATGTTAATAATGAAAGTCCAGTCACTCAAGAGGAGACTGGACTGTGCTCTCTATTGGAGGAAGGAGCCAGTCCCATTTCTCCCTGTAAAGGCAGAGAAACCTAAAAGAGAACAAGGGCAATGAGACCCTTGTCTTGCCTTCCCCTCCCTATGTGACCCGGGACAACCTGAGGGAACAACCAAGAGCCAAGATGGCAATTTACATTCCCAGTCTCCCCCTTGGGAGAACTATCTTGATAAGGCTCCAACCACCATGAGGCCACTGCGCCACCAGAAATCAGTTGCTCTAGGCTGTGAGAGAAGTTGGAGCAGTAGAAAAAAAAAAGAGTAAAACCTCTGCTGGAAGACTCAGCTGACTAGACAGACTAAAAGAAAGGGCAGTGATGGCTGTCTGGGAAAGGGAGCACTTGGCTGGTCCTGGTGTCCTTCCAGCAGATGTAAGATTTCCAAACCTGGGAGCCCCAGTGGGACTCAGAACCTAAATAAAGCCTTCAATATTCAGCAGGGCAAAGAAGAAGGGCCTTCCGAATTTTATCAAAGACTAAAAGATCAAATGAGAAAGTACTCTGGGCCACACCGTGAGGACCTGTTGGGCCAAGAAATATTACAAATTACATTTTGTCACCAATAGTTGGCCTGACATCTCAAGAGAATGTTACAAAGGCTTTGGAGCATTGCTGGGTTAAATGGTAAACATCTAAATATTTTTTAAAAATTGAAACATTAACTGCTAGATAAGTTTTAATTTGCCTGCTCTTAGTTTTTATCACAGAAGGTGTCTTATATTTTATTGAAGGTATATTTTATTGCATTTTGCCTCCCTAAACAGAGGGTAAATAGCTTATGCCAAAGTACTCAGGGAGACTGATAGAAGATATCCAATTAGTGTCATTTGCTGTCCACATCCAAGGACAAATGAAGTTAGTAAATAAGCCTTATTTTGGTCAGTTCTTTTCTAGTAAAATAATTATGTTATATTAATCAGGCATTTAATTAAAAAGACCATCTTTTAATTATAGAAACTGAAGTTTACTAGCCTATGTTCCTATCTAATACACTTCAATATTTAATATTTTGGTAAAATCAAGTTTGACAATCCTTCAAGGGTTTGAATTTTAAGAAATTTTCTTTTGATCTAGAATTGGCTTTAGATCATCCCAATAGGCTCTGAAATGCCTCAAATGTTTGTTTTACTCTCTCATGAAGGAAAATTTTATACTGAAGCTACATAGGAACCTTTGCCAAATACAGTTATAACTAATGGCTATTAGTTATATTATAGAATGTTGGGTTTTATAGAAAGGACAACCATGTCATCTGCATTATAATGAAATCCATAAACATGTCATTTTAAATTTCTTGTCATTTGAAGACAGTTACTGCTTTGTTATAATGCATTTGAAAAATATATCTTTTGAAGAGTCATTGGAAAGGACTGGCAAGGAAAATGATATCTTAAAGCAGGTCAGTTATTTTTCTCCCTACATGATCCCTTCAAAATTTGGCAATACTTAATGAATGAATAATGGCTATGCATTCATTTGCGTAAATTCAATAAGACCAGTTTCCAATGGTGGTTTTATTGACCAAAAACTTTGACTGGAATGTCATGTTTTAGAGCCCTGTCTGGACTCTGAAAATTGAAGCCAATAAGAATGCCATGGAGAAAGCCTGGTATCTTGCTTGGTCACCCTGAAAATGGATGGAGCTGGAGCATCAGGCCCATACCCTGCCATCGCTGGCAGTTGGTCCGAGTAGAAGGGGAGCAACGAGGGTGCCTCTGCATCCCTGCAAAACCCCCATGTACCCTAGGCCACAATGAGTAGGAGGGCTGCTGAGATTGGCCTTGAAGCTTAGGTCATGGGCCTGGGTGGTGTCGCTGCAGGTGAGGAATTCACCTAACTCAGCAGATACTGCAGGCAGGCCTGACAGCAGCTGAATGGCTTGGCTTCCCTGCCCTACGAGGCACATTGAGACTCAATCATGAAATTCCGGCAAAGGTGGTCAGTTACCATTCTTGTTGTGTTTATGCAAACAATCAGGCCAAATTGAATGCAATAGATGAATTGGTCTTAATTTGGCTCTTTTAATAAAAATAAGGGTGATTTTAAGGAGAAAAATTCTATTTCAATAGAAGTTATTAGAACTGAAATGTTTTCTTTCCCTTCCACCAGACCATTTGTTGTAACTCTTGATGTTCGAATTGCTCAATAATATTAAATTCTATAATACAGTTTGTCTCCGCCAGGTCACAAGCCCACCTCCTTCTGTGCCCAGGCCTCATCGTCCCTCTGACAGAAAGTAAGGATATCTTGGCTCTGAAAGAAAACTCCATCCCTCTTCAGCATGGAAGTATTCAGAGGAGCCCATCGACTTCCATTTTCCCTGAAAGAATTCAGAGCTAGGATTCTTGAGGAGATGTGTTAGGTAGTTAGACAGACATGAACAGAGCAAGGATGATGGGCCAACTGGAGAATAAACAGATGGAACCCTGAGACGTGCTTCTCACCACTCCAACTGCTCTGAAGCTGGAAATGAAGAAATCTATGTAGACTCCCTCGCCCTTCCTCTAAGAAAGCCAACAGGCTTAGAACAGCTAATAGAGATAGAATCAGTGAGCCCTGGAGCCCCAGATGTTACTCCAGACCAGATCTCTGGACTGCCATTACAATCCCTTGGGTGATGAAGATGAAAAAAGACTTGAGCTGCTGAACATCCTACTCCCTAGCTTTGAGTCTTCTATTGAATCCTCAAGGCTGAAAATCAGCTTGAGGCTCAAGAGGGGGAATGATGGGGATAATGAAACATCTTTGGGGGGCTAGCAATCTGAATCTGCGCCAGTAACCTGATGCACATTCTTGATAGCCTATAATTAAGTCACTGCCCCTTTCTCCACAGTCTGGTCTTGCAAGACAGGTTTACCTAAGTACTACTCCCATTTTACAGAGGCCATAAACCATGAACAACCCCTGAAGGGCGTTATGAGCGCTGGCACCAGGCCAGGCCTTTAGGTGTGGTCTCACGCCCCCACCCCAACTCATGGGGCTTTTTGCAAAACCCACAAAAGGTCTGGAAGTCCCATCCCATATTTGAGGGACGAAGAAACCAAAGGGTATAAAGGGAAAGCTTCCTCCATATTGGTTTTCTCAGGATTTGGAGAGAAACAGTCTCCCCTGAGTCACTGTACCGGTACATGTGAAACATCTGAAAATAAATGGGTTTTCCCCGTGTCTCCAAGTACTCCTGTGTGTTTTTCAGTTTCTGGTAAATTCTGTAACATCACCAGATAACATAGTCAATACAAACAAGGGGGAATTATGGAAATGAAAACTTTAATAACTTAAGCCAAATTTTTGCTGGGTGAGTTAAATGATAGATTACACATGTTATAAGAAAGAAAGAGTGAACTGGAATGGGATCAATAGAATCCAGACTAAAATCACAAAGAGAAATAGTAAATGACAAGTGCAGACAAGTCCATGAGAAAAAAAAAAAAAAAAATAAGACTATCTCATGGCACAGACTCAAAATGTGGGGATCTGAATTATTCACCCTAAACTTCATATAAGGGAGGGGAAGATAACAGTGTTGGAATCCCTGGTGTTGGTGGCAGAGAATACTACCCTCACTACTACTATTACTATTGCTAAGAAATATATGAGCCACTGTAAAAAAAAAAATAGCAAAAACAAAACAAACAAAAAACCTCAGAGTGTTAGTCTCAGAAAGAGAGGGGGAGTTAAAGGGTCAGAAGCAGTATGTGAACATGGACTTGCAGTGAATTTTGCAAAACTGATAAATGACATAAAACAACAGAGACATAGATTCTAGAGAGCCTACCAATGTCAAATGGTATAAATACAAAGAAAAGCACACATAGGTACATCATAGTAAGATTGCTGAAAATGAAATTCAGTGAGACAAGGCTCATTACCTTCAGAGATCAATAATAAGGCCAATGGCTGACCTTTCAACTGAAACTATGCATTGCCCAGAGACCATAAAAAGACATTTTTACAGTGTTCAAAAAACTGCAAACCTGTAATCCTATAGCTAAAGAAAATATATTTCAAAAATAAAAGTAAAAATTGTTTCTATTTCAGGCCATACATACAAATTTATTGCAAGTGGCTTGCCAACCTAAATGGAAAGGCCATTCTGCATGGCAATGGGAAGGACACCTAATAAGGCTGCAGTTAAAAATCACTCCTCAGACAGAATTTCTGATACACTATGACAATGGGCTGCCTGCATGCTTTACAACATGAAATTTGAGGAAGAATTAGCTGCCAAGTGTGTATATAAGAAAGCCCATCCTAATTTGAGGATAGGTTTTGTTAATTGACCAGGACATAAAGGTTTATCTTCCCAGTCCCAAATGTAAAAACATAACTGCAATGACAGTAAAATGCCTTTGGTTAAACTCTACTTGTATTAAAATATTCCCCACAGTACTATACCTTTTTTGCTGGTGCATGGCTAGGCTTCAACTCCTCAAGATCTTAAGTAACATACATTTAACAGCATGACAAGTTAAAGGAACAACAAATTTATTTTCTTTACACCAGATGGAAATAAGAAATGTGAGTATTGTGCACAATGAAACAATATCTATAAATCTAGCATTTTATTATATCACTTCAGCCTATAAAATTAGGATAGTCATCAGTAACACCTCCAGCCATGAAGTATACCCTATGGGAAGTCTGATACAGATAACAGATTCAGAGGGATGAAGTCATACATCAGTGAGCATCACAGATTTAGTAGGAGCTGTGACCCTCATATCTAACTGCATTTATATCATGCTGTAGGATGTCAGGAGCATGCTGGCAAACAGAATTGTTAAGAATTTGCTTATTACCAACTCTGTAATTCATAAGCCTTATGGACATCTGCTTTCTTATGTTTCTACATACAAAGATATTCCTAAACAATATTAAGGTAATATTCAAAATTGACTAAAATTATTTTTCTATTATTAAGATGATATTTTCTTATGGGGGGGGGATAGACAGTTTTTGACCTACTTCTTCTCTCTCTTCTTTTTTCAAGTTTCTAATTTTATCCTCATGGTTGTAACAATAACACATCATACTTGTAAGGTGTTGAAAAATTTTTAAAAGCTTACATGTTTATTATCTCATGTGTTCTTTGAGAGGTTGGAGCAGAAATGGCCTAATGGCCAAGATCCATGGTGAAACTCTGATATTCTGAATAATTTTCAGTGTTGTTTTTTTCCCCCTCTCTCAACATTGCTATGCTACCACATTTCCTTCCCCAATGGTCCAATGATATTAGCAAACTAGGTAAGATACTTGTCAGAGATTCTTTGTTTTCTGTATTCTTTTTACTTTTTCTGTTTGACAGAATACCTATAGAACACAAGGGAAATAGCAGCATTCTCTGGCCACATTCTTTCTATTTGAGTCATATTACATGGGCACTATGGCTACTTCAAACCTGGAAAGGTTACCCTGACTTAATTGGTTTGGGAACATGTACGAATTAATTAACCATATAGAATAAACCACTCCAGAACTCAGTAGCCTAAAAAACAATGAGCATTTATTATCTTTGACAGTTTGTCTGGGTCAGGATTTTGGGAGCAACTTAGTTGGGCAGATTGACCTGAAATTGGTATCAGATATTGGACAGAGCTGCAATTAGTTAAAGGTGAGAGGGAATCTTCCAAGATGGTCCACTCACATGCTTGGCAAGTTGATGCTGGATGTTGGTTAAGGTCTCTGTTCCTCACCATGTCAATCTCTCCCATGGCTGCTTGAGTGCTTTCCCAACCAGAGAGCAGGTGGCATTTATGACCCATCTTCCAAAGTCATAAGCTATGCACACCATTGTGTTCTACTTATCACCCAGGCCAGCCTGGATTCAATGTGGTTAAAACCACATGTGTGAGGAGTCACTGGATCCATCTTGGAGACTGGTTATGGTTACTGTGGACTTCCTTGATTGAGCCACTGAATATTTCATCTCTCCCAAGTAACAAGAAGCTTCTGGGAAGTACATGTCCTAACAGAGGTTTAATTTCATGTTGGTATATATTTGGCACTTTTTTTCAACATCACTCTCGCTTTTCATCTCTCTTGGGACTGCCTTATAATACATGGCTACCATGGGAACTTCCTTGGACTTACATACCGCTGACTCCCTAACCATAGTTTGTTGGTTCAGAAAGAGGAGCGAAATTGAAAATAGCATCCCCAAGCTACAATTGACTTGTTCAAGTGGGACACTTGACTCAGACTAAGCCAGTATCATCATTTCCTGGGATTTTGAAATTGATATTAAAAAAAAGAAAACTTGAGGGAAGTCACCCCTCCTCTAATGGTTAAAGTAGAGAATATAAAACTTCTCCATATGGAGAGCTGGTCAGTGGTGAGAAAGACTGTCAGTAGTGAGCAAAGCCAAGATTAATAAAGAGTAGAGAAAGCATAGTTCTGTCTCTAGGTGAGACTGTATGCCTCTCACAGCTAGTTTATGTCTTCTACAACCCTTTGGATTCTGCAAACTAATAAATTTCCCCTTGTATATGAACTATACTAAGAGAGTTGCAAAATTGCTTCCACTGCAAATCAGATGCAGAGAAAATACAAATTTTGTCTGGCCTTTGTGGAAAGAAAATGTGCTGATTTTCTCTCCAACATCTGCAAGCCTCTCTGGAGTCTTAGAAATATCTCTGTAGCTGGGCACTCTTTGTATCTGCCTAATTCCCCAAGTCTCAAATTCCTTCAGTCTCAAAATGTTTAGGGAACTAGATACTAGTGTTGTTT